TTCAGTGCCTCCCCGTTCCCACGGCTCCTTTGCCGCGTCAGGGGACGGCCATTCTCCCGGGCACGACAAGGGGGTTTTCATCCTTGCGGCGCTGACAGAAGGGCTTTATGTGCCGGCCCAGCTCCAGAGAACTGGGATGAAAAGGCTGGCTGGGGACAGCACGGGGTGGGAGGTGAACATGCCAGGGGTTACGTGCAATGAAAACATCAGGTCTCTGCTGCTGTGGAGGGGGGATGAGTGCTGGCACCTGCCCCCCAAGCCAGCCGGGCCGGGGAATGCCCTCCCCAAAACAAACTTCCCCCCACCCCAAGGCAGCTTTTGGGGAGGACTCACTGCGCCAGGAGGGAGGCCAGGCAGCCGTACATGGATGGCGTGTACATGTTGCCGTTGCGGGAGGGGAGGGGCAGGGAGGGCTTGGGCTTCTGGTTGAAGATCTCCTGGCTGGCTGCCTGGAACGCCTTCTCCACCTCTTTGCTGGTGTAGGTGTCCTCCAGCTTCACGCCACTACCCAGAGAGAGGCCGGCTTGAACCCTGCGCAGGCATGTCCCCAGCTGGGCTGGGGGACAGGGAATATGGCGTGCAGACCCACCGGAAGGGCTGCAGCCCCTTGTAGAGGCCGGCAGGCGTGTCGGGGGTGGGGGGGGGCAGGGAAAAAATCGTTCAGCAGCAGCCGCCCCACTGACTTCTGCACCAGCTTGCAGAAGGGTGTGTGGAAGATGAGGAACTTGAAGTCGTCGAGGGTGAAGGGCCGCTGGATGCCGGCTGGAAGGCAACATGGCGACTGTCAGCATCCAGATGCGGATGCGCAAGGATGCGCAGGCACCCCAGGGGTGCTACCGCTTACCCTGCTGCCACTGGCTCTCTGCCTTCCGGCGGTACACGGCGTAGCAGCGGTCCAGCGCCCGCAGGTAGCACTGGATGGAGAGCTGCCCATCCACCACCGGGTACTCGGAGGCCAGGTCTGGCTTGTAGAAGTCATAGGCATGCTCCATGTGGGTTCCTCGCAGGCCTGGGGGCACAGGGAGAGCTGGCTGTCGGGGAGGGCTGGGGGGCCCAGCCAGATGGCAAGCAGTCATGAGTGCTGGGCACGGCTGCTGCCCACCATGCCTGCCCTGGCATCCCCCAGCGCCCCTGGGTCACTCCAAGGTGCCCACAGGGATGTGGCCGGAGGGGATTCTGGGGTACCCAGCACCAGGGCCAGCAGAGCCAGTGCTGCCAGAGCTGAGCAGCTCTGCCTGGGGCTGGGACATGGATGTACAGCCCCCAGGGATGGTACTCATCAGCTCATCGCCCCCAGGAACTCGTGACACTGACCTCTTTCCAGCACCAGTGGGGCGTTGGGTCCCACCAGCATGGCAATAGCACCAGCACCTCCTGTGGGCCGCGCGTTCCCCGTGGCATAGACAGCAATGTCCCCGCACACCACCACAGCATAGCGACCTGGAGAAGGGCAGGGGGGCCAGTGGGGCCATCAGCGGGGGGGAACCTCCATCCTGCAGCCTTCGCCCATCC